GTGCCATACTTTAGAGTAAACCAAGATGGAAGCTGCAATGCGTCCATCCTTTGTAGACAAGGGGAGACCACTTTTCACCCAGAACATCCCTTTCCCTTACTCAGGGATCTCAAATTGCGTCAGCTCCAAGAGCCAGGTAAGGGTGGAGAGTCAGGGGCCAAAGAGCTGGCTGAAGAGGAGCCAAGGCCAGCCTCGCAGCACTTGCACTGCCACCAACAGGGGGAGCTGCCGCTCCTGTCCTACAAGCAATAGGTATCCCTCACTGGTCCCCCAGCTGCTGGCGCACGGGACCACCTTTTGTCTTTGGAAAATTTTTCCTGCATACAGGATTCACTGAGAAATTTACACACAAAAAAAAAAAATTCAGAAAGTTGCTAGTTTTCCAGTGACAAGAAGAAAAGAGGTATTTTTGGTATGATTGTGTATGACAGAAAGGGGTACTTAGAGTGCTGGGGATGGCACAAGAGGTGTCAGAGAATGGCTTCCCAGTGAGCCAAGGGGAAGTAAGACATTCCAGTTTCAAACAAACAAACAAACAAAGCCCAAGGCATTCCCATGTCTCCTCTATCCATCTCCTGGCCTCACCTGTCCCTCCTCCCACCCTGCTAGGAAGAAGGCCCATGGACAAGGTTACTTCTTGTGGCTCAGAACCATGAGCTGTTCTGAGGGAGGAAAGGTGTGGTGGCCACCTGGTAACTTGCCCACTTTGGGCTTGTTTAAGAGAGTTACAGACTTTAGAACAAACAGCATGTTTCTAAGGCAGGCCTCTTGGAGCTCCAGAAGGTTCTGGGCCAGGTGACCACTGTATTGAGGGCAGAGGGGTCCAGGGAGAGATCTTCACCAAGGACAGCTGGACACATCAGCTCACTGGCCCAGCCACTGGCAGATGGAAGGGACTGGCAATACCTCTAGGAGGTATGGTCACTTAGCTGAGCTCACTTCTCCTGGGGCCTGCAGGGTTGTCACTCCCAGCCCCATCACCGCCCACCCCCACCAAGCGGGGATGAGAAACAGTCCTGGAGCTTAATCTGTCTCGCTGACAGTGTCCTGACTAATGAAAGATAGTGAAGGATCATCCCCAAATGTTTTGTTTTGAGTTACTACTTGAGATAGCATAATATTTTTAACAGAAAATTGCCCATGATTTGAAAGAAAATGTAACAAACTTCCAATTCAGGTATCTTTTTTCAAAAAGCTAAGAACTACAGAGAAGTTTTATATGTAATATGTATATATATACTGAATTAATAATGCATTTGAATATTTGCAACAGTTTAAAGACATAAGGGGTTTTTAAAAAGTTAATGGAAAATGTACATGATGAAAAAGTAATGCACACATTTCAAAATTTTTTTGCACCAATACAAACGAATCTTCTAACCATATTTTCCATAAGTTTTTTTTAAAATATCCTCCTATATGGCTAAATTGTTTCAGGGTAAAAATGAATAATTAATCATCTGATACATATTGAAAGGCTCTGAATTCAGAATAAGGTCTATATTAAAGTACTGACTTGTGCATTTACTCCAGCATTTTATTAAACACCTGGAAAGAATATAATCCTTATCTTTCCCTACTTGCCATCTTTCCTACCTCCCCAGTATTACTATCCCATCACTGATAAATCTTTCAGCATTTTTAGATCCATTTCAAAGCTGAAGGCACACACAAATGATCAGCTATCTAGGTTTTGTTCCCTGTTTCAATTATAACAATGTCTTTGTTCATGAAAACAAAGCCTGCCCACATCACATTTCTTTATCGTCATCTTCTCATGGTTGGAAACTAAAACTTAAAAAGTCTTTCTAGACTCATGGATGGTTTAGTTCATTTGTTCAATAGTTCATTTATTTGGCAGACAAGTATGACATACTCGCTCAGACTCAGACACAACACTAGGTGCTGGAAATGCCCGAGTCTGGTTTTCAATGAGAAAATACCAGTGCGACTTTCAAACGTAAAGTGCCTTCCCTGGAGATGCATTTGTTAAAAAAAAAATTCTTCTGAGTAAACTCTGAATTCTTTATACTCAGATGTTCACAAACAATCCAAAACCAGCAGATGACACCAGAAGATAAGGCAGTAACAACAAAAAATAGGCACAGTGGGTTCTATTATAATTAAGAACTTTTGTGCATCAATGACTAACTCTTAAAAGGGTAAAAACATAACCTACAGAAAAGGAAAACAAATTTACAAATCATATATCTGAGAAGCTTAATATCCCAAACATAAGAACTCCTATAATCTAAGAGCGAAAGATCAATAATTCAAATTAAAAAAAAAATAGGCAATGACCTTGCATGGATATTTCTCCAGAGAAGATGTACACTTGGTCAACAGGCACACAATAATATGTCTCAATAAAACCAATCGCTGGAGAAATGCAAATCAAAACCATAATGAGATACCACGCACTCTCACTAGGGTGGCTATGAAAACGAAAATGTGTTGGCAGGAATGTGGAGAAATCTGAACCCTGCTGGTGGGACAAAATGATTCGACGGCTGTGGAAAATAGCTTGGCAGTCCCTCAAAAAAAGTTCAACGTGGAATTACCATATGCAACAGTAGGTCTACCAGCAATACCTGCAGAAGAACTGCAAGCAAGAACCTATCTCCAGAGACAGCTACATAGCCAGGCTTACAGCAGCCACACACACCAGGCCTGGCACAACACTGCCTGCCTTCCTGAAGCTAGGAACACCAGAGAGCGTGCCAGCACACAGGTCTGGGGTCACACCAGACAGCAAAAAGAACAGCAGCAAGCACAAACGTTCCCCAAATGCATCACAAGCAAAAGGCAAGAGGGAGGCTTGTTTATAGCATGACGGCTGAAAGAAGGAGGTAAAATGCAGCCCCCTGTGAGCTGGGCTGGGAAGCGCGCTCTGGACAAACTCTGGTGAGAAGGCTGTGTTGCCCCGGAGCTGTGAGGTGGCTAGTGGTAATGGGCACACAGAGTGTGAATGCAATCAGGGCTATGGCACTGCACACTTCAACAGGGCAAGTTCCCCATTGTACGCTACAAAAACATGGATAAATAAGCTAAATAGGATTAAATCAACTGGTTTTTTCTGTTAAGACAAACTCAGATTTAGGTACACTGATGAGATTAAGAGATTCTTATTCACCCACACGTCCCTCTTTTTTATTACTGGTAGTTTTTAATTTTTATTTTTCATGATAGCTCTACAGGCTCAGGGATTTCCTCTTCCACCCTCCCCATTTCCCGTCTTACCCACTATTTCCCCTGTATTATTACAATAGTATAGTCCTTCAGCAACAGTCACATGTCCATCATTCTATTTAAGGGTATCATGACATCGTGTGTGCAGACAGTGGTACAAAGTCCAGCATTCTATTGCCAAGATACATTCAACAGTCAAATTGGGAGTCCCTCTTTCTTTTATTCGCACACTTCCCTTTTAATGCTTTTTTTTTTCTTTTGGTTTAAAGAATATATTTATGGGAACTGGTGTGGTTTGACAGCAGTGCCCTCTCTCCTCCTCTCCCATGCCATGGAGTACAAAGGAGAAAAGAAAAACAAAGAATTGGGCCCAGCGGCATGGCCTAGCGACTAAAGTCCTTGCCTTGAATGTTCCGGGATCCCATATGGGCGCCGGTTCTAATCCCGGCGGCCCCACGGGCGGAAGATCTTCCTCTCTGTATATCTGACTTTGTAATAAAAATGAATAAATCTTTAAAAGAAAAACAAAGACTTGAAAAATTTAGCTCACCCAATCTTCCTCCACACCTCAACCTTCTCCATCCTACTTAGAGGCCCACATGGTATGCAATCCTCTCATTCGTGTAAACAATATTAAAAATAAAATTAAAAAAACAGTGGAACAGAGGACATATTTAAAGATAGCCTTGGTATTTAATATTGGTTGATGGGCAAGGAATGCAAAGGACATCAGTATTTGCATGTATATTCAGCTTATCTGTTTGCTTTTAATACAAATGTGTGCAGTATTGGAAGTGTTCTTTCCAATCACTGTAAGAGGGCTTGTCTCGAAAACAAACTGCTGCTTCTAAATTATCTTACATACACACACACACACACACACACACCATTGTCTTTCTGGTGCCCACGTTGGGGTGACCCAGTACTCTTAGGTGAGTTACCACTGAGTCATCTTGGCACCACTGACTTCCTTTTATCAGCAACCTACTTCTCATCCATCTCTTCTCCCTGCCGAAGCCCCTATTTTCATATCTCTAGAGAGAGCCATCTGTTAGAATATGGATGTGGTTACTATCATAACTCAAATGTTCCCTTTTTAACGATTTCTTGACCCAACAATTACAAAGAAGCACTGCTGGATATCAACATAAATGAAATGTGCTAATGTGGAATGCACACAGTGTCCAAATGTAAGCAGAAAACAGGCAGGGAGCCCTGACTAGGGGGAAAAAAAATCTGTGACATTCTTAAAAATGCATCATAAAACTAAAAACGTTTCACCACAGATGACATTTTGGCTTCTTTTATGATCGCAAAGAAGGGTAATTATGATTGTCATGAAAACGCAGGGAGCAGCAGCTGTATACTGTTAACAAAAGACGCATTACATGCTTCTCGCAAAAACTGGCACTCTATACGTTCATATTTCCCAGACATTAGACAGCCTTTCCAACTGGAGGAGATGCGAAAAAAAGACTGCTTCCTATTAATTGTGGTTTTATACCAGTTGACGTTCAGAGCCAACTGGATCATCTTTCTTTTGAGACAATTCCTATAAACTATTAGTGGGGATTTATATACACAGATCTATACATATATGTGTGTATATATATATATGTATATAAAAGTGTGCATGATAAAGTTGCAAAAAGTCATTTTTAGGCTCTTAAAAATATACAGAGTTTTAACTCTTACAGAAATGCCCGTATCAGTAGATTCTTTCAAAGGCGTCTGCCTGTTTAGAAATGATAAAAATGCGTAACAAATAACTGTGCAGTGTGTTTTATGAAGGCTAATTAATAGGTACTTACTCATTAAAGACGAGGTCTGGCGCAAAATAGAGAAATTGGCTGTTTGTATGTTTGTACGATCTCCAGCTCAAGGCAAATGATGATAGACACATCCAAGAATACTGGATTAGGGTAATTTGGTCCTCAAGAGGCAAGTTTTTAAATCCTGAAGAACAGAACAATTAATCACAGAAACACACTTAGCATTTAAGCATGTTCTAGGAGGAAGCGTCTTAAGTCAGTCCCCAACAGCCGCCTGTCTGAGACGCTGATCGCTTGCACAGTCATTTACAGAGCATGCACCATTGCCTGGGCCTGTTTGGTGTTTTGTTTTAAATTCACCTGCAAGGATCAGAAGGTGATCTGGCAGGGCAAATTCATACTAGATTTCTGTGAATTTGATTGCATGCTTTCACAAGTATGATTTTTTTTTTCTTGATTGAGCCTTTCAGGATGAAAACTTCCAAGTCATCTATTAACATACTAAATATCCTGGGATGGGCCAGCGTTGTGGTGTAGCCAGTGAAGTCTCCACCGGAGAGGCTGGCATCCCATTAGCATACCAGCTTGCATCCCGGTTGCTCTGCTTCCAATCCAGTCCCCTGCTAATGGCTGGGGAAGGGCAGCGGAAGGTGGCTCAAGTGCTTTGCCCATAGGCAAGAACTAGATGAAGCTCCTGGTTCCTAACTCCGCCCTGGCCACTGAAGCCATCTGGGCTCGTGAAACAGAGGATGGGAGCTCTTTTTCTGTCTCGCTTTTCTTTCTCAGTAATTCTCTTACTTACATACATGCATACTTACATACATACAGAAATTCTTAAAAATGTCATATTCAAAATAGAGTTTTCAACTGTCACACTCTCAGAATTGATGAGAACAGAGTTTTTCACACATCCTGAGCTGGATGATTAAATGAATAATGTTGCAATTGGGATTTAACAGGAAGCTAATTCCACGTATGCTGTCAGATGGGGTGCTCTGCGGCCCTGCCTGATGTGCGGCAGGCTGCAGTCAGGGCAGGGAGAGGTGTGCTCACCTGGAAGTACCTTCGCCCACTTCACCACCTGAATCATCTGTTTGCCAGCCAAGCGGTTTAGCGTGGAGAGCAGATTTTCAGCAGTGTCTGGTTTGGAGCTGTCGTAGCCGGCATACACAATTTCAGGTTCAATGTTTTCAAGGATCGTGACGGGGGAAGGTGTGAGAGCTCGAGTGATGGTGGAGAGCTGAGGAACAAGCGCAGTGTTGACCGAGGGCTCCTTGGCAGGGGCGATGTATGTGGTCCCTTCCTCGGGGCTCTGCGGAGGAGGCGGCGGTGGAGGCGGCTGCTGCGGCTGCTCCTCGTGCAGGCCTTTTAACTTGCCCAGCTTCTTGGACTTTCGTGCTGCGAAAAGACAAAGGACAGAAGCAAATAAAATCATCTTTGGAATATTTGCATTTCCTGTGAGATAAATAACTAACACAGATAGGTTCAAGCATCCTTTGCCCCGAAGGAGTAATAATCATGCCATCGGGCATTATTTATTTATTTATTTATTTTTTTTTGGTAAGAGAAAACAGACATTGTTGTTACTTTGGATGTTGGGAAAATCCAACAGGAGTACAGCCGAGCACAGGGAAAGCTAGCAAACAGATCAAGCAACCGTCCTGCAGTGCAGACACACAGCCACCGTAACACACGGAAGGGCTAAAATCGAATACTAATACTAGCCAGTGTTCTCAATGCTTGATATAATTAACCAGTTCAACAGGGTTTTTTTTTTGAACAGCTACTGTCATGATTGTCATTCTAGAAAAAAACAAAGGCTGGCACCAGGGAAGTTTTGACATCTGTGTGAGGAGCCAGTGTTTCGGCACAGTGGGTGAAACTGACATGTGTCCTGTGGAATCCTACATTGGTGTGCTGGTTTGACACTTAGGTGTTCTGCTTCTCATGCAGTGCCCTGCCAATGTGCCTGGGAAGGTGGCAGAAGCCAGTGCGCACCTGTGCTCCTGCTACCCACGCAGCAGACTTGCTGGGAGTTCCTGACCCTGCCTCTGGTCTGGTTCGGACCTGGGTGACCATATGGGGAGTGCACTGGTAGATACACTCTTTCTTTCTGTCACACTACCGTTTAAATGAAAACACAGATCTTAAAAAAAAAAAAAAAAGGAAACCTTTCCAAGATCATGCAGCGAATATGTGTGCAGTAGAGTTCAAAGCTAAATTACTTCAGGGGCTGACACTGTGGCTAATCCTCCATTAAGCACCAGTAATCCATAGAGATGCCAGTTTGTGTCCTGGCTGCTCCCCTTCCCATCCAGCTCCCTGCTTATGGCCTGGGAAAGCAGAGCATGGCCCAAGTACTTGGGTCCCTGAACCCATGTGGGAAATCCAGAAGCTCCTGGCTTCAGTTTGGCTCAGCTCTGGCCGTTGCAGCCATCTGGGGAGGGCAACAGCAGATGAGAAATCTTTGTCTCTCTTTCTCTGTAAATCTGCCTTTCTAATAAAAATAAACAAACCTTAAAAAAAAAAGCTAAATTATTTCATATGCTAACAAATGAGAGAAGAGTTGGATGAAAATAGGGAATCTGGAAGATAAATGAATGAATGAATGAATGAATGGAAAGAAAGCTCAGAAGTGCCACACTGAGCTTAGGATTTTGGGAATAACTATCGTGCAAGTGTAACTTTTCAGTGTACTTAAACATTCTTGAAGATCAGCTTATTCCTGACAAATTTACAAATTTAACATCAACTACTGCTATACCATACCAATTAACTGGATTAAAAAATCCTTCATACTTACAATTATATTCATTAATACCTATCATATTCCTCACAGAAAAACTAAGGATTCAAATAAAAGTCATTACCAACAACAAATGTATCTGCCACAACATCTATTACATGTCGGAATTGAGCTCAAGAGATGAATAAGATGTAGGTCCTGTCTTAAGGTATTTAAAATTCACAAAACAAATTTAAATACTCAATCAACAGGGTACAGTTTCTCCCATAAATGAGAAGTCTAACGCAGAAAAATCTGATTTTTTTGTGAAGCTTTATTTATTTTACTTGACAGAAGTACAGAGAAGGAGGGACAGATATCTTCTATCTGCTGGCTCACTCCCCAACTGGCCATAGAGATGGGTGGTCCCCGGCTGGGAGCCAGGCACCTCTTCCAGGCATGTCATGAGCGCACAGAGGCCTAAGCGCTAGGCCATTAGCAAGGAAGCTACACTAGAAGTAGAGCAGCTGGAATTCAAACCGGTACTCTTGTGGGAAAATCTGATTTTTAGACTTATTTTAATGAAAAGCAGATGCATCACATTCATTTATGATAATGGGAAATAGCTGACAATTTCTATTTATGAAATAGTAGACATAACCAAGATATGGTACTGGTGGATGACTGAGCAAATACACTAAAGAAAAAGTAGTTGGCAGGGTACCTCAAAAACTAGGAGAAACAGAATAGAACTCCTAAGTCATCCAAACTCCTGGTCAACAGAAGACTCCAAAAGATCTTGAGAAATTCCTCCATACCTTTAAATAGTGATCTGGACTATTAGATACCTAGAATTACTTTAACGCTACATAAGCTGTTCTCTAAGCCTCAACTGAGTCATCTGAAAAATGGGGAGATGGTTCCCCCCAGAGGGCTAAGTGGAGATAATAAAACCATGGTGGCATTATTAATACGACTAATATTTTATACGATTCCAACATTACTTTTTTTCTCATAGTTGTATAAATTATTTAAAAAAGATTTTAGTTCATTAAGATGTTCTTAGTCTTTAGCAGACTACCTGTGAGAAAACCGTGATCAGATTGACTAGAAACAGCCAGGGGTGACATTTTTCAATTTCATTACGAGCGGTATTTGCTTGTAAGTTAACTGTGACATTCATCTTTGTTTTAAGCTTCAGGCCCATATGCTACGTTTATTCTTATGACTTATTTCAAGTCAATGCAATGAAATATCACAAAGAAGAATATTTATTTTCTCTAGTGGTGAAGTAGGTGGTGGTCTACTGCATAACCTGGTAAGTAGATGATCAGTATTATACTTAACAGTTGAGTTAAATTTAATGTGACTCTTGTGAATTTATGTGGAATTGAGTATTAATCCATATTTGTTTGAGGGATTCCAGGTAATAAATATTTTTCAATGTGCAGATTCTCAAGCATATTTATCCAAGGCAGATAGCTACACAAAGTCAGCTTTTTAAAATGGTTCAACACTGTCTACTGTTCCAATACCTACTTCCCACGAGGTTTGTTCAGGCTCAATGTTGGATACATTATTTCATTTTAAGATTTTGAAAAATTTTAACTGGCTGCTACATCACAAACTATTCATTTGCTTTCCTGTAGGAAATATAGACCAGTCTCTGAGAATTTCAGCTAACATTTCTGATTTGTTCATTATTATTCCTTCTCAAAATTTCTACTACATAACCATCGGATTATGGAGTCACTGGTCTTGAGATGCCATATCTTAAGTAACTAACAGTAAGTTAAACTGACTGAGCATGGATGTCCCGGGCAGAGTTCAAAGTACTTCTATATGGTTTGATCATTCCACTGCTCAGGAATGACTCTACGGTCAGGCACTATTCCACTTTACAGGGGAGAAAATTACGCCACAAAAGCTCATGTGCTTGTTCAAGGTTGCTGAGTAAGTGTATACCAGGGCAAGCATTTGTATCTAGGACGGGGTTTTCTCTAACTTATATTATTTTTTAGACTTTAAGATTATTACAAGTTTTGAATACAAACATATAATGAGGAAACTAATTGTTTCCATGAGTCACGACATCAGTGGACATAAATTGTGGGGTTTATTATTATTTAGCACCTTACTGAACTAACATGGTGTTAATGGTCACTGAATTTGGAGACTACATGCTCCCAGGTCACCAGAGCCACACACCATTTCTTGGCTCCCAGCGACTGTAGCGCTCGCTCGCTCGCTCTCTCTCCATTTAGGGGGCATGAATGTGATTGTCACTATCCCCAGTGTGACCTCAACTATTGGAAAGATGCATGTTACTTGCCCTAGCTAGCACATGCTTAGTGGCAGCCCTCAGCCATCAAGTGTGTTTTCCATAAACTTTTTGAAGACTTTAGCTAGGCAAAACTTTCAAAAGTTGTCCCACCAGGCCCCTGTGATAGCCTAGTGGCTAAATCCTCTCCTTGCATCTGCCAGGAACCAACTTGGGCACTGGTTAGTGTCCTGGCTGCTCCACTTTGCATCCAGCTCCCCATTTGTGGCCTGGGAAAGCAGTCGAGCATGACCCAAAGCCTTGGGACTCTGCACCTGTGTGAGAATTGCTGGTTCCTGGCTTCAGATGCAAAAACTTGGGGAGTGAACCATGGGATGGAGGATCTTTCCCTCTGTATCCCCTTCTCTCTGTAAATCTGAATTTTTTAAAAAAAGTTGTTGCACCAAAATAAACGTATTCACCATTTTTCCATAAACTCTTTGAATTCAGTCTTTTCATCAGATGAGGTCATATTGGGATTATATTAAAAATTTTGTCTCTGTTCACATGCCAAACGTAATTCTGCCCACAGACCAACTGTACTTATAGCCTATAGAACAGTTTCAGCAATTCCTCACTCTCTAAGCCCTGTTCTTCTAACAGGACACTTCTCACACTCTCCTACATGGGGCATTGATTGCGGCCCAATGACCCTGATTGTGCTTTCTGTACATGACTTTTCTCTGTCTTTTTGTTGCCACAGGATGCATACTCTGACAGCTAGGGAACAACTGTGAGTGTTTTTGTGCCCTGAGATCAAGTGGGAATGTCATCTTTCCACAAGTTTAATTGGCTGGCAAGCAAAATTGTCCCAATTTATACTAATAGAAAACAGAGCATCTAAACTGATCTGAAGATACTATACACTAGGGGTCAGGGTCCAAGTGCAAACTGCCCTCATGAATAAATAACCAACTGCTCAACTAATTACACGGAAATGGCATTTCAATTGTTTACAAATGCTGTGAGAGAGGTGAACAAAGTGGAAAAGAGGGTATGCCTAAATGCACCTTTACATGTGCTCAGTTTAATGTGCATAAGTTAACAAATTAACATGAATTATTGCTTTTATTACATATAATAAACATGGGCAAGCAAATGTAAACCTAACCTTTAACCATTGTAGACATTTCCAATTAGTAGATCCCCATGTATTAAATTTTTATCTGTTTTAAATTGACCCATAGATTCATATTCTACAAAGCAATACTTCAATTGCTATTATTGCAGAATCTATTCACCAATCACATAGCAAAACCTAATGTCTACCTATGATACAGAAAATAATGTGTTCTGTGATCAATGTGGTATTGACTAACAGGATCTGAATCCTGCTGTAGGGGTCTCATCGTG